GGCCGGAGGACTCCTGTTCGTTTCCGCGAAAGACAATGAAATCATCATCTAATCTACAAGGGCGAAAGGGTTTAGCCAACCAAAGGACGAGAGATGCATTGCGCAGTTGTGGGCGAGCAATTGTCCCAAATGTTGCCAGGGGCGGCGGGTTGCGATAAGATAAACTCACCTAACATCAAACAGACTATAACTATGACGTCCCGTCACCGAAGAAAATGGCTTAAACGACGGCATGATTCGGGTTTTGGCAAAGCCGCAATTGCAAGCAACGGCCAAGAAACCCCCAGAGAGGGAAAATCAGGAGAGATGAAGTGGTATAGAGAAGGAAAAGGAAAGGAAAGGCAAGGAAAAACCAAGCCAAGGGCCGATAAAGAGGTGGAAACGCACGACAGCACGCAGACGATCGTTGGGTCTAGGATTCAATGGGCTGACATGCCACGCGCCAAATTTTCTGCTTGTCTTCCGCCTCTGACACACACACTCATGCACCGACAAAGCTGACTGGCTGTGTGGAAACTGGAAATCTCCTAGGCCGCCTCGCTCTCGGTCGTATGGCACCGAGAAAAGGGACCAGACTGATAGCGGCGGGGCCTCGATAAACGCCGCAGCAAGGGTCTTCCGTCAAGAGCCGGAAGTTGTTGGCTCGCAGCTAGTTGCCCGGTTGGTGGATCCGATAATGCGAAAGAGAGAGAGAGAGCGAGAGTCTTTGGGACCGAGATCAGATTGCGCAATACCTAGTGTGTACTAGGGGGTGGCAAGAGATTTGGTTGTTGGTGGGATGTTGGTGTTGGTGGAGGAGGGAGAAGAAGAGGAAGAAGAAGGAAAACAAGAAGGAAAACAAGAGCTGAAGAAGTGGAAGAAGAAGTGGAAACTCACAGAGTACTAGAGTAGGCAGATGGGAGAGGAGAAAGACGAGAAAGGGAAGAGGCTTTGACCTTTGGAGCCAAGCCTCGGGAAAATCACAGGGCTCTATTACAGTACAGTTCGTGCAGCCAAGATGTACAAGCATGTACGATATCGGGGACGAAGCCCAAGGAGGTGTGGAACTGTGGTCGACATGACAGGAACTCAGCCCGTGGATACATGACAGTTTCCATCGTCCGCATCCGTATCAGTCAAACGCTCGGCTACAGGTACCAGCGGCCAAGTATTACCCCTACGGGAATAAAGGCTGCTTGGGGGATCCACGAGGCGGGCGCCCGAGAGAGCATCAATCGAAATGCCGTGGCTTGGTGGAACGAGCACCGGCGGAAGCGTGCACGTCGAGCCGATCTCGTCACTTTACGTTTGTCTCTGCCGCCCAAATCACGGTGCTTGGATGGGGGGGTTCTCACGTAGCATCTCAGCGCACATGCTCGTACGTGCAGCGGCAACAGGCGGCAACTGAACAGGCCACAAACAAGGTCATGATGATGACGGGCGAATGCCGAGTGCCGGGGGTTTTGACACATGCCAGCCCGAGCGAAGCTTTGGAGAAAATGGAAGCCCGAGTGGAAGCCCGAAAACGGAGCAGATGCGACGCCAAACCGGACGGGAAGCATAACGGCTTTTTCCAAGCCATGAGTCGTGGCGCAAAAGGGGAAAAAGGAAAAAAAAAAATGAAAACCCAAAAAAGCCACCGTCAAGATGACGCTGGGGCTTGCAAACGTAATGGCGTTTGTTGAATTCCATTTTCTAAACTAAATATGACACAATCTGTGTTTTCTTTTTTTTTTCTTCTCCTTTCCTCTTTTTATTTTGCCGTTAGTGCAGCTTCTAATAATACATGTCAATACAACGGGAGGCGGTTCCTTCGTGCACAGGCAATGCCGCTTTGAGCAGCAGAGAGCGTAAGAAAATACTTCATACGAAGTACCGATGCGGGTCAGACTCGCCTCGATGCTTGCGCACTGACAGGAATGCAACCCCCGTGTTACAGTTGCAGATTCTACATGCTCGATGCGTATTAACACACAACCTTGCCCGCATCGCTTCAAGTATGGTTATTTCAAGCTCTACGACTCCCTAGCACGAGTCCTCATCAGTAGCTCACGTCGTCACAAACTCTGTCCCACGAAGATGCCGCCCCGGCATCGGACCAGGTTAATAGGCAAATAGAAGATCCGGCTCTCGCACATGGACGACAAGACGGCTATTTGCCCGGCGCTTCTGTACCGCTGGGTACATGTACTTGGACATGTCCAACTCCAAGCTTTTCCCAAGCTTCTCCAAGCCCTTGGCACTATCGATCGCGGTGCTTGTATGGATCGGCCACGGCTTGGTATTGCATCGTGAGGCTGTGCTCCCCTCACTTTGACGGCGTATCGCAGCTTACCTTGCTGTGCCAATGTGCTTCTGCTCAACCGAGTGCAACGGCGGATAAATATCTCATCGAGTGCTCACTCGAGACCGCCAGCTGACCCTCTTGGACTGCGCGAGAAGAGGTCAGCTCTGTATCCGTCGCGCGCCGCAGGTCACAGTCCGCCTCGTTTGGGCTGCATCCCGCCTGCCAATGCCTTGATTTCCGGCCAGCGCATCTCTTTTGATATAGCCGCTGTGATATATCTGATTGTCCGGCCGTCTGCGGCGCGGTGGAGACGTGACCAAGGCATTGCTGTCGCTAGTCTGAGCTGCTGAGGCTTGGCTTCTGATGCTATCAATGGATCAATCGTGCTGGTAAGGCTTAGCTACCGAGGCTTGCTCTTATACAAATCTAGTATCAGCCGCAGATGACAAATTCCAAAAGGCCGCAATAAAGTCCTCCTCCTCATCATCATCTCGCTCTGCCTACATCTGCTTATGGTAGCTCACAACGGCCAACTACCAAAGATGAACAACCACATCTTCCTCCGCAACACTCCATCATCAACCAGATAAAGAAGCCGTATCAAGCTCGTATCAAAGCCCGCAGCTGCTACTAGCTTCGGCATCGAAAACGCCATCTCGAAGCTGTCTGATACCAGCCCATGTGCCCAGCCAGGGGGGTCCCATGAGTGGCCCTCTAGCTTGATACCCGCCTTGGCTGATCTTGCTTGCTATCAGTGGAACTCCTTGCGGGCCGTCCAAGAAAAAAGGGACCCTGCGTCCGTCTTGGAAAACGGGCCTTGCAAGGGGCACGAGAGTGAAAAAAAAAAAAGTCTTGAGGCATAATACATAGCGCAAGAGATAAGGGAAATCACAAGCTGAATCGCCCACCGCCTCGAAGCTGATGCCACGCAACGAGGTCCCATTGTTTTGAAAATTTTCTTTCTCTCTCTGTCATTCATCGAGATCATTGTTAGAGATGCTCTAATGCTACCTTGATATGCTCCATAGTGGATGTGATCTACGAATCCTAGATGGCGCCTCGAGCACGGGATGTGACAGAACCCTGGCTTTTGCAACATTGACAACTTTTTCCGTCTCAACAAACTTGACCACTGGATCCCACAACAATTTTTTCTTCTTCTTTCTTTTCCCGTATTTCTTGCTGCCGTTAATTCCCGTACAGCACGGTGAGTTCTCGGGTTTGAGCCTCGAAGCCTCGCTTCTCTTGCTTCAATCCTGCTAGTTTCATGCCTTCTCCCTGCTAGCGGGTGATTTTAGCACGGACGTGATTATCGTCGAACTGATCGCTCTGGCAACTTTGCCCGGAATCCACATGTAGCCGCCGACCAACTGCAATTATACCTACTGGGTATGCTCTACTCGTACACAAAGAGATGCCGGATTTCATCTCCAAGAATCTCCGACCGCCGTAGCGCGGCCTCTCCGGCTAGACTCTCCGTATTGTTAGAACGCTCGGAGCACTCAGCCCGGAGTCTACAAGTAGCCCGCAAATTTGCTTCCGGCATCGAAAAACACACGCCGAAAAAAGATCACCATGCTTCGAGCTCCGGGTTTCGGCTTCAACGGCTGCCTGGAAGAAGAACAAAAAAAAAAAAGGAGAGGGAGGAGAGAAGTGGTGCCATGACATGTTTTGCATCATGACATAGGACAAACATATGATCAAGATGAGGATGGCAATAATTTCCGCATCAGCCAGCCGGAAATTCTCCTTACTGCTACCACACAGCGTCGCATTATCCCAAACTTCAGCATCAGCTCGCCACCCCCCACGCGGGCCTGCGTCGCCTGGCTTTCCAGAAACGGGGATTCCGCAGCAAGCTCGGCAAAGATGGGAAACCGAGCCGAAAAGCTTCTTCGAAGCCTCTCCCTCCCCGTGTGTGATTTAGGCCCCCGGGGCGCGGAGTAAACGGGCAAACTCTCCAATGCCGTAGATTCACATGTCTGTCTTTATGCGAACCGAGTATGCCCGGATAGGGGACAGAAACAGAACAAAGCAGAGAGTCTACAGCACGTGCCGATGTGCTGGTGCCACGAGGTCGCATCGAATGACGTTGACGAAACTTCTCCACTGCGAATCAGCTCATCATCCTATCCCGGTGGTCAAGGGGGGGTGGCAGCCATTCGGGTCCGCACGATAGCGCCCGTCCGAGTGCGTGTCGGCACATGTGAGGTTTGTGGATGGACCCGTGGATCCGGCGGCTTCTGATAATACACGTATCGTACTCGTAGAATGCCGTGCCTGTTGCCGTGTAGGAGTAGGTACCGTAGTATCGGCCCTTCACATGAATCTTAGAGACGCTTGTGGTGTTGCATCCAATCACGGCTTGGTCAATCCGGCTCGATCCATTCAACCAACAGGCTGCATTACTAGTTTGAAGAGAAATATATAATGAAATAAGACAGCAAAATCGGCTCCTTCCAACAGTAAGTAGTTTAAAGCAGCCATCCCTGAGAAACACCAAGCAAGATTATCTCGCCCGCCTAAATCTTGGCCACGCAAAATAAAGCCAATCAATCAATTAAAACGGGATAAGCGCCATCGAAACGCCCTGATCCATCCATATAGTATAATATAGCCCCTCACTCGGTTGCCGTCTGAACACCCGGTCTGTTCCATGTTCTTACATGGCCTATAGAGTTTGATTTCCTTGGTCAGCCAATGAAACCGGTGCGGTTTATCAAGATATAAGATTTCACGCCTTACCTGACTTGCAGCTCGTGATAACGGCATCCTCGGTGAACGCTAACCAGCACGCGGGGTGGGTATCAACCACGTGCGTCTATAATGGGTGGGATTAGTTGGTGCAGATCCCCTGGGTGTAGTATTTCCGAATACTTACAAGGACAGGCGGCAGCATTGGTATCACTGCACGAGGCTGAACGGGGTGAGCAATCACATTCTCCTCCCACTCGTCTTCCACGCCAGAACTACCCTTGCCCCCGGAATTAACAGAGGTGTTGGTGTCTGTTCTGTGCGGAGCCGTAATTCTCGATGATACGGATCCCCGATGGCGAGCCGGCACCTGTAGAGAAGGAATAATTAGCCTCCATCGCATAACATGCATTCCCTCACATGCTTATCAACTTACGGCGGTCTTTGGCCGATGAAGCATGCCCACGCTAAAATCCCAGAGACAAAGTCGTCCATCTTCTCCAACACTGCCAAAGCGGTAGTTTCGGTCGTCGCATCGCCATGGATCAAATGCGAGGCAAGACACCCAAGATCGGTGGCCTTGGCACCGGGCAACCAGGGCCGAGTCGGCCATTGACCAGATAGATATCAAGTCATCTTGGCCGCCAGTGAGGACGTACTTGCCGTCTGGCGTCCAGCAGACGCATGACAGCCCTCCGTAATACGAGTAGTATAGATCCAAGAGCCTGCTCGTCAGTCAGTAGCCAGACCACGCCAATGATATACCCCCCGTGAATTGCAGGCTTGCTTACTCTTCTTTGAGATAATCAATGACTCTCAGCGTTCCGTCCTCTGATACCACTGCGAGATGTCGATTATCGGGTGAAAACGCAAACGCATTTATCCTCTGGTTTGACAATTTCCACGCAGCCACCGGGTTGGTCTTTTGGTTTTTGGAGTGCACCGACTTGTTGATTCTGATGCCGTTGCCATTCGCGGATCCGTTTGAGAGCTCGCCCTCGCTGCCGCTGCCACTGGCGTTTAGTCCCTCTTCCTCGGGATTCAGGTGACCATCTTCCTTCTCTTTATCATACACCACCAGCAGGCCATCCATATGGGCCGCCAAGAACAGGTTTTCGGAGCCGGGAATCCATCGGATTTCGGATACGGGCGTGTTGTTGATTATTCCCTAGGTAGCTTGATATTAGTAGAGTTCCTAGTCAATTGGCATGCAATCATCCTTACATTCTTGTTGAGACGTGTATATCGTTGGGAGATGGGCTCCCACCAGATGATCTCGCCCGTGGAGAAACCCATAATCACGTCGATATGCGAAACGCTCTTTGTCACCATGTTGACATCGTGGCATAAGCAGTGAGCCCTGGTGAAGAGGATCTTGGTCAAGTAATCTTGCTATACTCGGCGTTAGTCTACCCAAGCAAACTACAACAGCCAGAACCTGTGCGTAGCTATAACTCACCTTGGTTGGTGACGACATGTCCAGCCACTGAAATGCTCGGTTGATGTTGGCAAAGGCAAAGAGGCCATCAGACGGGCGATCCGTCAGCTTTCGCGTGAGATTATCGTTAACAATGACGCGCGAGATGAAGGAAGAGTTGCTCTTGGTGACATTATTCTTGGGCTTCTTTTTCTTGTTGATGTCCTTGGACACGGTGGGCGCCAGCAGCGAATTGCCTTCTCCAAATGCTGGCGCAGACCCCATGGTCACGGAGCCGGTCGGCACTTCGCTTGATGCCGCGCGGCCATCCTCACTACTCATACCCCCCTCGGTCGAATATCTCTCGCTGGGGTGCTCCTGAATGCTCGTGGTCCCGCCCAATGACAGCGTCGTAGCAGAGGGGCCCTTGTAGAAGAAAGGAGCTGGTCGCGTTTCCAAGCTCAGGATCGACATTTTCGTTCCCGCGGTCGCAGGCTGTGGGTTCGTCGCCAGCGGATTGGGATTGACCACGGGCGCTTCGGACGGATGAGGCGGCGGCGTTGCCAGATGCAGGTCTTCCTTGAGTACGTATGTTCCTGTAGGCCGTTCGGTCAACCAAAGACCCCGAATCTGCACAGCCGCAACATGTCCGACTTACCCTCTCCGACCAGAAACTGGTATTCAGGACCGCTCGGGTTCGACAGCGTGTTGTTGGTCTCGATCAGGGGCACGACGCCCCCGAGGCCGATGCCATAGGCGCCTGAGGGATATCGTGGAGGCGGTGGTAGAACACTGCTCTTGTCAATCGCGAACGCCTCGTCGGACATAACCTGAGAGGCCGGGAAATGGCGAATACGCACAACATATTGGCGGATTATTGGAAGCACAAGTCGTAAAACACAATGTCTTTCCAGCGAGGTCTTCTAGATATGGATTGCGCCTCGTGTCTGGCAGCCGTTCGTCGGTCGAGATGAATCGCAGTTGTCGCGCAAAGATGCTCGCTAATCGCTATCGCTATCACGGATGAGCGCCCCAAATACCGACTTTCTACAGCACAAGCGAAGAGAGCGAGTCGGAGAGACGGCGGCTGGACGAGTGAAAGCGCGTGTGCTTTTCGCAACGGGGCGGCCAACCTAACGAACCGAGGGTGCTGGATCAGGACATTCTCCAGAGGCAAGGAAGGCGGACGTATTTGCGCCGCTGGGGGTCTTTATCCGGAGAGCTGATAATGGACTAGGACCAGGTTGGAGGAATAGCGTGTGTGGGGGAAGTGGGGATGCAACAGTTGACGATTCAATGGTTGGACGCACTTTGACCACTAAACCCTAAGATGGCCAGTGATGCTCTCATGCAGGCGATGCGAGCAAATAGGGACGTTGTCCGTGCTTTGGGATGGAGTGCTGTGATCCGTATTTGGCAAAGGCCATCGTGAGATGATGCTGCAGTCGCTAATCCATGTGAAGGTCGAGGGATTGAGCAGGTAGACACAGGCCCTTGTACAGCTCAGGTCGTCCATGGAGGCCCAATGAATGCAGGTACATGCGAATAATCGAAATTGCCTCACTGGGGGCATGTAACTCTTTCGAAGATTGAAGCACAAGAGTGCTGCGGAATACATGTAGGTACATACCTACGCGCGCCACGGGGGTTTCTGGTCATTGCTTGGCACTTGTAACATGGATTTTTTTCGTGTTACAAGGCGCTATAAATTATTTCTGACCTCTATGATCGTAATAGAGTAAGCAAAAGGCTTGTGGGGCCCATGACAAGAGAAATCAACAATGACCAGAAAACGCTTTGGCGCGCGATGGTACATCTGCACAGCATCGGCCGGCTGCTGATTGGGCCTCCGTACTCGTGCGGTACTCGTACACACCACTTCAGCGCCTGCTAGGGGTCTGTCTGCAACAGGAACGTAACTGCAGCCGCTAATTGGAACTGCTTGTAGCATCTCAGGTGGCCGCTCAGCGCTAGCTACCTCTATACAGTAGCACGTCCCTCCCACCTATCATGCGTCACCGCCTGCCAAATCAGCCCACGACCACCCAACAGCCCCGCGGCAATTTAGCTGCACCTGTAGCGATGCGGCTTGTGACGTGGAAGCACTAGATTTCATCTCGCAGCTGCGGCTCCACAAGACTCCAAGCTTCTGCTCCTACATATTGGCGCCTGAGCTGTTCGATAGATGCCCTGGAACTCGCTGCTTGAGGACATGGCCTCGAGGTAGCCTTGGCTTAGCAAACCCGGCATTGTCTTGACAGCTTGCGCGATGCCTACCGCAGGTGAGAGAACTCAAACCCAACCCGGCCCGTGTCCGGCTGTGCTCCCTCCAAAGGGTCATGAGAACCATGATGCTCGGAATGTCTACTCTACATGACTGAACTGGAACTGACCTGGTGTGTTAATTCGCTCAGTGAGAATTTGCGTCTGCGGCGACGAGAGCACGGGCAAGTCCAGCCTGATTGCGTCTCTCGTCAAGGACCAGTTCATGACCAACAAGATCCAGCCTGTCCTGCCTCAAATCACCATCCCGCCGAGCATTGGAACACCAGAGAATGTCACTACGACAATTGTCGATACTTCGGCTCGACCCCAAGACCGAACGACGTTGCGTAAGGAGATTCGGAAATGCAATGTCATCCTGCTAGTCTATGCCGATCATTACAGCTATGAGCGTGTCGCCCTGTTCTGGATGCCCTACTTTAGATCACTGGGTGTCAACGTCCCTGTCGTTCTATGTGCGAACAAGTCGGATCTTGTGGGCCAGAGTAGTACATCGCAAGTCGTCGAGGAGGAGATGCTTCCCGTCATGGGTGAGTTCCGAGAAATCGACTCGTGTATCAGAACCAGCGCAAGGGAGCATCGCAACGTCAACGAAGTCTTCTTTTTGTGCCAAAAGGCCGTGACCCACCCGATTGCGCCCCTCTTCGATTACAAGGAAGGCCATCTCAAGCCTTCCTGCGTCGAAGCCTTGAAGCGAATCTTCTTCCTCTGCGATAAAAACCAGGACGGCTATCTGGATAATCATGAAATGCGAGACTTTCAATCTCGCTGCTTCGACAAACCCCTTACGGACGACGAGCTCGAAAACATCAAACTTTCCATATCAAAATCTCTAAGAGGCGACGTAGATTTGTCCAAGGGTATCAGCCTGAAAGGCTTCTTGCAACTCAACAAAATGTATGCCGAAAAAGGTCGACACGAAACCATCTGGATCATCTTGCGCAAGTACCACCATACGGATAGCTTGAGTCTGGAAGAAAACTTTCTACATCCCAAATTCGAGGTTCCAGAGTTTTGCTCGGCCGAGCTCAGTCCCGCAGGGTACCGGTTCTTTGTGGATTTATTCCTGTTATTCGACAAAGATAATGATGGCGGTCTCAATGACGAGGAACTTGAGGCGCTCTTCGCTCCTACCCCTGGACTGCCCGCATCCTGGGCCGATTCTTTCCCATCCTCGACGGTCAGAAACGAAGGCGGATACATCACTTTACAAGGTTGGCTGGCCCAATGGAGTATGACGACGTTTCTAGAACCCAAGACAACTCTAGAGTACCTGGCATACCTCGGCTTCGAGCCCCCCAACCCAAAAGAACCCATCACCTCAGCACTCAAGGTTACGAAACCGCGCAAGAGGCGAAGACGACCAGGGCGTGTCGAAAGGAATGTCTTCCACTGCTATATTCTCGGCGCGTCAGGGGCCGGCAAATCATCCCTCCTGGACGCCTTCCTCAATCGTCCGTTTGACGACTTGTACCATCCCACCATTAAGCCACGTCGAGCAGTCAACAGCGTGGAACTTCCTGGTGGAAAGCAAGTCTACCTCATTTTCGAGGAGCTCGGAGAACTTGAGCCGGCCATTCTAGAAAACCAGGCAAAACTGGACGCTTGCGACCTTCTTTGCTACACATACGATTCATCCGACCCCGATTCGTTCTCTCACATTGTGGACATACGGAAAAGGCACCCCCAGCTAGACGAGCTGCCATCCGTCTACACCGCTCTCAAGGCAGACAGGGACAAAACCATGCAGCGGAGCGAGCTGCAGCCCGACCAGTACACGTCGTCTCTTAACATGAGCTCGCCCTTGCATGTCAGTGTCACATGGAACAGCATCAGTGAGCTCTTTGTCTCCCTTGCTGAGGCGGCGGCGAACCCAAGCACCGCATTCCCCAAGACTGACGATGACTCACCTGATCGGACAAGCTTGTATCTTACTCTGGGAGCAACGGCTTGTGCGGCGATTGCAGCCGTTATGATTTGGAGGCGGTCGACGAATGCCATGTAGGATCTTAGTACAAGTTTTGACAACTTTTTGGATCCATAGCGTTTCTCTACCAGATGCAATAGTCGCAGCGGCTATATGCCGCCCAATTCCAAGAGTACGGGTAGTGTTGGTAATTTATGTCTAGGACGGCGTTTCGTCTTGGTGGTGGTTCCTGGGAAGCAAGCAGAAATTAGATTGGAGCTTATGATACCCGGTTTACAGATACAGATATGTTTGGCACGGTTTCATTTTCCAGTGGTTTTATTGAATACGAATATGTAGAAGAAACAAAGATTGGCATTAATTCCACGGCATTAAAAAGAATTGAGCTCCAATTGCATCGGTGTAGAGCAAAAAGCAACAGACTATACTTTGTAGAAGCAAAAGCCAACGTAAAGGCTTGCGGCCTCCATCTCATCGTCCGAGACGAGAAGCCGTCCGCCGCCTCTCTCACGGACCCCCATCCTCTCGCTCAGCGGTCCAAGCTCCGGGTCGTCCTTCTCCGTCTCCCAAATCTCCAGGAAGGGCCTGTGGAATTGCAGTTCCAGGTTAAAGTCCTCGGCCAACGCACGGAACGCCTCCCAGGGGACGACGTATTCGGGGACTTCCTCGACGGCCTCGTCCAGGAAGAAGTTGTACTTCCAGCCAAACGCGGGACGGAAGACGCCATCATCGGGGGTCTTGCCTGGGAATCGCACGCGGTAGATTGAGTTTCCCCATTCAGCCGTTGGTTCGGCCTCGCCCTCTTCGAGGTCTCCGTCCTCGGCGTCCGCCTCTGGGGCGGCGGGCGGCGTACAAGTAGGGGTTGTAGAGCCGTCGCCGTTGACCTCGTTGTTATCCTCGCGTTTGGCAGCCGCTTTAGCATTAAAGGCGCGGACTCGCTCGCCGAGCACGTCCGAGTTAGGGATGCAGCCGATGAAGCGGCCGCCCTTCTTGAGCGCGCCGGCGACATTGCGGAGCATGGTACGAGCGTGCTTTTCGGACTCGAAGGCGTAGTGCATGCAAAACATCATGGTGACGACGTCGAAGCCACGGCGGTTCATGGTAGAAGGGTCAAAGCCGACTTGCCGGATGATTTCCACATCCTCAATGCTCTCCGAGTAGCAGTCCTTGACGTGGAACCGCGCATCAAAGAGACGCGGCGGAGGTCTGCCATGTCGTCCACCGCGACCTCCTCGACCTCCTCGAGAGCCCATTTGCCTGTATCGGTCTCTTGCCTGCTCAATGCTGACGTTGGCAGGGTCCAGTCCGACGTAGAGCTGGATGGGCTGTGGTGCCTGCTGCCATTTGCTCAGATCGCCGCCCTTTCCGCAGCCAATATCGAGAACAAGGAGTTCCCTGCCGCTCGACCGACCCATCTCTCGCGACCCAGGCGTGTGGTCCTCATCGGGCGAGTAGCGCTGGATGATGCAGCTCTTGACCCAGTTGTTGAAGACGCGCAGTCCCTTGATCTTGCTCTCGCGGGTGCGCCAGTCGCGTCCTCGCTCGGGCACGCTGTTGTAGTGTTCTCTTACGACGTCGTTGATGCCTCGGATCTTGTTTTCCTCTGCAGCCTGGGAG